CAAACACAAAAAAAAAAAAAAAAATAAATAAATAAATAAATTAAATAAAATAAAAATAAATAAATAATAAATAAATTAATTAATTAATTAATAGTTATAGTAATGGGCACACAAAGTATCTCCATCTTCCTCTTTCTATTGCTGCTGCTGCTGCTGCTGCTGCTGCTACTCCTGCTGCTGCTGCTGCTGCTGCTGTTGTTACTACTCCGGCTGCTGCTGTTACCATTACTACTACTACTGTTGCTGCTGCTGCTGCTGCTGCTGCTACTACTACTACTACTACTACTACTACTGCTGGTGCTGCTGCTTCTGTTGCTGCAGCTGCTGCTGCTGCTGCTGCTGCTGCTACTACTACTACTACTACTACTGCTGCTGCTGCTGCTGCTGTTGCTGCAGCTGCTGCTGCTGCTGCTGCTGCTGCTGCTGCTGCTGCTGCTGACATATAAGAGGTCTTCACTGGGTTGGGGTGTATGCAGAGTTTTGTATGCATTGTTTATCGCTTCATCGAAGTTATTTGTTTTAATATTTATTTTATTTATTTTATTTATTATTTTTTTTATTTTTTCTCTTCCTTTTTCTCCTGCTGCTAGATCTATAACTTCTCCTTTTGCTGCTGCTGCTGCTGCTGCTGCTGCTGCTTCCTCTATAGTCAACCCATTATACTCGCACAAAGCCTACACACAACACACACACACAATGCTGCTGCTGCTCCTGCTGCTGCTGCTGCTGCTGCTGCTGGTGCTGGTGCTGTTGTTGTTGTCGTTTTTGTTGTTGTTGTTGCTGCTGCTGCTGCTGCTGTTGTTGTTGTTGTTGTTCTTGTTGCTGCTGTTGCTGCTGCCGTTGCTGCTGCTACTGCTGCTACTGCTGCTACTGCTGCTGCTGCTGCTGCTGCTGCTGCTGCTGCTGCTGCTGCTGCTAAAATAAAAAAAAATAAATAAAAAAAAATAAAAAAGTAAACATACATGGAGGAGAATAACAACAAAAGGGAGATGAGCGAGTTGTTGCTGTTTTATATTTTTTAAATCAAAAGAAGCAGCAAAAGAAAGAAGAGAAGGAAAAGGAGTAGTTAGTCTGAGGTCTGCTGCTGCTGCTGCTGCTCCTGCTGCTGCTGCTGCTGCTGCTGCTGCTGCTGCTTTTTTTCTTTCTATTATACAAAACTCCCCCGCCCACACTCTTACCCAACCTATAAACCCAATACAACCAACAAACACAACGGGCACGCCTGCTCCTGCTGCTGCTGCTGCTCTTGCTGTTGCTGCTGCTGCTGCTGCTGCTGCTGCTGCTGGTGATGGTGCTGCTGGTGCTACTGCTGCTGCTGCTGCTGCTGCTGGTGCTGCTGCTGCTGCTGCTGCTGTTATTGCAGGTGGCCCTGCTACTTCTGCTCCTACTGCTGTTGCTGCTGTTCCTGCTGCTGTTCCTGCTGCTGCTGCAGCAGCAGCAGCAGCAGCAGCTGCTGCTGCTGCTGCTGGTGCTGCAGCAGCAAGCTGCAGCAGTTTATATTCATAATGTATTTGTATGGGGCCGCAGACAACAGCATCAAATGCATGCAGAGG